CCTCCGCGTTCTCCCACACTACCGCATCAGGGTTTAGACACGTCCCTCTTCAGCTCTCCTCGGTATACCCGAGACCACAATGACGCGCCTCCTGGAGTGGATGTGGACAGCCGTGATCCTTTCGACAGCAGTCCTCGCCAGAACCTCGATGATGTGTTTGCCGACCTGACGAACCAAGATCAGGATCCGGACCAAGAACCTGAACCGGAGCTGATGGAGAACACGCATGCCAACGAGGCGCTTGAGGTTCTCGACGTGAGCAACGGAGATGACTCTGATGGCTTGCCTGATGCAGACTCGCCTGATCACAAATTGAACGGGGACACCAACGGCCATGCCGAGGCAGACGACCATGCTGATGAGCTTTGATCGAACCTTTTCCTACCGATAGTCCAAAAAATTTTTCTCGACCACTTGACCGATAGTATGTTTAGTGGGTTCATGGGGATGTCCGGAATTTCTCTTTCTCAAACTGTCCTCTTTCCTTAACCTTTAACGTTGCATGACACGGCATTCTGCGGCGTTTCCAGACTTGCTGGTGGCTTTGTGTTGTTCCTGGATTGTTAACGGTGTTGTTGTTCACTGGGATGCCAGCTGTTTTGCTCTTAAAGTCTTTTTCGATTCGCTCGGATGGGATCTTGATCCTGTTTAAAATTTATGTTGTGGTTTGTGATTTGTACGACTTCGGTGTACGAAGACAACGGAGACCTGGCTAGTCCGTCTCCGCATTGCGTGGTGTTTTCCTGTCTTCTCTATTCTTATTTGATAGTTGTTTGTGTGTGGTTTCACTGTTCCTTCTTCCAAGGGGTGGCTTTTTTTTTCCCAGGCCAATGTACACTGCTGTCTTTGCGCTTTCTCCAGTATTTTTATTTTCTAGTCAGTCGCTCGATGAGCGCGTTCGATGTGTCATTAACCAACAATCGTTCAATACAGTAGACCTTATTCCTCAGCCTAGTGCCAGTGGCTTTAGTAACTATCTACAATCAACACATCCACCGCAACAGCAAATATCTATCTACACAACATCCGCATACGCACTCATTGCAGACTGCCCCCCCGTATGCACCATCAACACATTAACACCAACCCCATCTCCCTCCCCTCCCCCCCTGGCAACCCAATCCCTACCCACCTCCCCCTCCCTCACCCAATGCACCATCCCCCTCGCCACCTTCCCCGTATACACCGGATCCAACAACACCGCTTCCTCCCTCGCCATCAACCGCACCATATCCCCCGTCGCATCATCCACCTCCCCATACGCCGTGCCCGCGAACCGCTCATCAACATGCACATCCTCCATGGTAATCTCCCTCTCCACATCCTCAATCCCAATGAGTCTACCCGCTTGGCGCGCAAACTGCAGTACTCTGTTCTCGTGGTAGCTGCGTGGACGTGTTGGGGACGTGAGCACGCCGATGACTTTTCGGGATGGGCGGTGGGCGGTGGCTTCTGAGGAGTGTGCTTGTGCTTCTTGTTTCTCGAGGAGCTTTAATCCCGCGATTAATCCCCCGTGGGTACTCCCGCTGCCGCATGCCACGAAGATGTAGTCTATTCTTCCGAGGTTGGGAGCGGTGGACCCAGGTTGTGGTTGTGGTTGGGGTTGGGGTTGGGTTTCCTGGTACGCTATTTCGAATGCGCATCGCGCGTATCCCAGTCCACCTAGGGGGTGGAGGCTTGCGCCGGAGGGGATCCAGTAGGGATGTTTGTTTTCGGATTGGAGGGTTGTGAGGATCGAATGGACCCCATCTTGGTCTTCTTCTTTATTTGGAGATGTGGGTGTGGATGTTGAAACAGTAGCTGAATCCAAAACCCTCACATCAGCCCCTAACAACTTCGCAACTTGGACATTCCCCGTCCTCTCAAACAGACTCTTGTCTGGTACTTGGACGTACCCGCCCCCCGTCGCCTTGTGGAGGATAATCACCGGCCGTGGGAGGTTCAGGTGGTTCGCGATGCTGGTTACTTGGATGGTGTGGTTGCTTTGGAGGGCGCCTTCGGTTACTAGGGTTACTTCTTTATTCTGTTTGTATCCATGGGGTAGTTTCTGTTGGTTTTCTGGGGATGCTGTAGGGGATGTGAGGGTTCCGTGATCGGGTCCTGGGGCTAGAGAGCCGTATTTTGGTACTGGGGAGAGAATGTCTGGGATTAGGTACTCGAGTTTGCGGTATTTGTTGCCGCTGGAGGTTAGGGGGGAGGCGTGGTCTTCGCGTTTGAGGTGCAGGGTTATGTTTATGTTTGTGTTTATGTTCTTGTTCTTGTTGGTGGTGGTGGTGGTGGTGGTCTTGGGGGTTGTGTATGGGGATTGGAGGAGAGTTCTGGTTAGGGTTGGGAGTGGGTGGATGGGGGAGGGGGTTGCGTAGAGGAGGGGGTAGCGGGGGATTTGGGAGAAGGGGGTGGGGAGGGGAATCATTGTGTTATAGCAGAGTAGTTTGGAGGGTGACAATATGAGATTATGATGTTGAGAGTGAGTTTGATGTTGTGAGTTTGGGATAGGTGTGGAGGTGGTGCGGAGTATATATTGGGAAGGTTCAGTTGGAGTAGTAGAAGTAGTAGTATGTCTGGAGCCTGAGGATTAGTAAGTGGATACCGACGAAGCGAGAGTGGAATTGACTTACAGCAGAGTGATACAAGATAAAAGAGATCCTACTCGAAGAGATGTAATGTTGATAACCAGATGATACAATGAATAGCTGAATATCTTGATGATGCCATAGGCGGTCAAGTTCTGCCTCTCCGCGGCGGAGATTCCCCGATGAGGAATTATCCCCTCATCTTATATTTTCGACTCCAAAACAACCCATCCAACTCATTCTCAATACAACTCCTCCCTACTACACCCGCTACAATGCCTCCTCCAGAGCACAGCCTCTTCCAATTCCTCGCCAAAGCCCTCCAAACCCACCACCGCTTCCTCGCCGGCCGACTCTCCCGCGCCGAATCCCCCATCTACGTCATCGGCAACCCCTCCGCCGACCTCGACTCCATCATCTCCGCCATTGTCTACGCCTCCTTCGCCCATCCCCGGCCTCACGTCCCTTTAATCAACCTCCCAACTGTCCCCGCAGGTCCCGAACTACGCCGTCTCCGTCCCGAATTCATCAAATCCCTCTGGCTCTCCACGCACCCCCCCGTCCCGGACGAAGAAACATGGTCCGACACGCCCGAGTCCGCCGGCCCTCTTCTCCAAGAACACATCCTCACCGTCTCCGACTTTGCAACCCACCTCCAAGACTACAACCACAACAATAATCAATTAACCGCCGACGCCGTCCTCGTCGACTGGAACGCCCTCCCCATCCGCTCCCCCACACAACCCCGAGGCCAAGGCTCCCTCCCCACGCTCCCCAACCTCACCTTCACCGTCCTCGGCTGCATCGACCACCACGTCGACGAACACTTCCTAGCCCCAATCACAGATCCAGACCAGCCATTCCTCCTGCAACCCGCCGGATCATGCACTTCACTCGTCGTCAACATGTTGGATAAAATGGACCGCTGGCGACGCACTTCCTCCACCACCTCCACCCCTGCGGCGCTATCATCCGAACTCCAATTAGCGAAGCTAGCCATGAGCGCCATCCTCATCGACACGGCGAACTTTACCGCCAAGGAGAAGGTCACGGACTCGGATACCCTCGCGTACAGTTTCCTCAGATCGAAGATCAATGCGATTTCGAATCGAGATGGGGATGCGGCGGGGAAGCCCTGGGATCATAATAAGTTCTTTGAGGAGGTGGTGGCTGCCAAGCAGGGGAGCTTGGATTTGTTGACTGTTCCTGAGGTCTTGGAGAGGGATTATAAGGAGTGGAGGGAAGTGCCTTCTTCGAAGAAGAAGGAGGGAGAAGGGGAGGGAGAAGGGGAGGGGGTGAAGATTGGGATTTGTTCCATGGTGCGGTCGTTGCCGTGGTTGGAGAGGAAAGCGGGCGGGACGGGGGCCCTGCTTGATGCTGTGGTGGATTATGCGAAGAGGGAGGAGTTGGATGTGGTGATGGTGATGACGGCGTTTAGTGGTGCCGAGGGTAAGTTTTGTCGGGAGTTGTTGGTGTGTGCGACTGGGGAAGGTGGTGTGCGTGGAGTGGAGGTGTTTGAGGAGCAGGCGGGTGTGCAGTTAGGATTGGAGAAGTGGAGGGTGTTGGATGGAGATGAGGATAGTCAGAGTAGTGAGTTGGGGGATGTGAATGGAGATGATAGCCAGTCATGGAGGAAGTGGATCTGGGTGCAGGAGGATGTTACGAAGAGTCGAAAACAGGTGGCGCCGTTGATTAGGGATGCAGTGAAGTCTTTGTAATTTTGTATCTACTTTGTATATCTCTTGGGTATATAAGCTTTTTGAACATATAGATGGATGGATATAATTGGGTTGATTGTGCAATTGCTTTGCTCCAGCCATGTCGAAATCAGATATGGTTCTATATCTATCTTCAGAATCGACTGACTGCGATTGATGATGGATAATGACCAGTGAGCCAGTACACAATGCTCCAGCGCAACACATAATAGATACAACAACACAACAGAACTGAAGAGAAAAGAACCAATTTCAATGTATCCGACCTGATTCACAGCACCAACCGAGCCTAGTCATGCTTCTAGATCGTAGTAGTAAGTTCATCGCAAATTGAACAAAGCCCCAAACAGCCATATCATCAGACATGATGCCCCATAACTCAGCAACCATAATGCATGAAAACATAAAATGAAATTGTTAGAACAGCCAAGAAGGAAAAGAGAAAGAAAAAAGAATAACACCGGCGCCATGATGGTCTTTCCGGAAACGCCTCAATATGATGATAGTAACATGTAGGGGTAGATCACGTCCTGCTGCCCCTTGATGATGTCCTGGTACAGATGCCAGTCCCGGACCGGATGCAATGCTGTCAATTAGACAAATGTCGATGAAGAAGTCTCCGTAGATGAACACAAATAAAAGATTAGATTACAGTCGCGTTTGCTTGGCAAATGTTCCCAAATGCAAGCCCGGCAGTTGGGGATTTTGGTCAGTAACATTCCCATTCGCAAAAGACACACCACCGTGCAACTCGGTCGGCCAGTACCAAGCCTCGCCACACGCCGCGCTCGCCAATCTTGATCACTGTCTCCCAGACGCTGCCGTCTGCCGGAGCATCGGTGAATGCGTGCGTGCCTGTATGAGGGCTGAGCATATGCTCGGGCTTCCGCGTCAAACGCAGGATCTTGCCTGATGGAGACTGAATCGCCAGCTTGGCCGGCTTTTCGCGTCCGGACATCGAACGGCCGGATGAAATAGCCGATGTTGAGGCGGAGAACTCGTTGGACACCCCTGACACCGTGGAACCACCCGCGGAACTGGAAACCATACTCAATGCGCTCGCAGGCCGGGTGAAGACCGACGGTGAGACACGCCCACTGACGCCAGCCTCATTGCTGCCGGACGACAAAGCCGGAGAGGCCGGGTGTTGGCGCACAGCGAAAACGAAGGTGTTGTTGACCGCCAGCTTCGCACACTGCGGCTGCATGATGTAGAGATCATGTCGCTGAGCGTGAGGGGTCGGATGGCGGAGCACAAAGTCGTACGGTGGGTTATCGCTGCTGTGAAGCATGGGAAGGGCAAGAGCCAACGGGTGGGGAATATCACGACTGGAGTGCATCAGTCCCTTCTTGCCGGCGTACACCTTGACTGTGCCCTGTCCTTCATCGCCGGGCAGGATGGCTTTCACCGTAATCCGCTTCTGTCCACTGACCCAGTCGGGCTGCACCAGAGCGCGCTTACGCACAACCTCGCCACTTTCAAAGAAATCACCATCGGCGTCACGGGCAAACGCTGGGGCTTCCACCTCGGCCGCACATTCCACGTCCGGGGGCACTGAGAGGCGAATCTGCATGACCTCCAAGCCGTCAATCCGGATGATGCTAGTATCATAATCGGGGAACTGCATATTCAGCTTGAAGTATGGTGGGCAGGCCGCCGGGAGGGTCAGTAGGACGTCTGGCGAGATAGGCGGGCAGATGTGTTGCTCCTCAGGAGAAAGAGGAACATGCGTATAGCAAATCTCCAAGGGTCGTGCCAGGAAATACCAGCTTTCGGCCACGGAAGTGTTATTGGTGACGAACTGATTCCGTCGCGGATTCGTAGGGCTGGCCAGCGAACAGTCCATGATGCGCCATTCGCCATCCACGAGCACCGAGTTCCACCAATGGTTGGGTCGCGAGAGGCCGTCCAGGTCAAACATCTCCCCAGGGCCTTTAAGGAACCCATTGATCGCTTCAGCGTGGAGACCGACCGCCGCACACATTTCTTTGACCAGATAGGCCACTTCCTGGGGACTGCCTCTTTTCGTCTGGAGCACACGCCTCAAATCGATGCCGATTTCTTCCACCGGGTCATCCCAGGCGATCTTTTCGCTCACCCAAGTAAAGATGGCGCGCAGCCTCTGGACATCACTCTTATAAGGGCGGCAGACATACCCGTGCGCTAAACTCGCCGGATTCGTCATTGGGGGAAGACTGTTGACAAAACGCGCGCTCTTGTCCACAAGATTCAGGTTGACACTGGCGAAGTTGGTCGGCTCACTGATCGGCAAGCCGTCAATGCTTTCATCGCCTTCCGCCGTCTCGTAGAGTTCCTCTACCGAATAGATCACAGGGTGGTCCATCATTTGGCATCTTTCAGCCCGTTCGATTCTCTCGTTTCGACTGGGCGAGCTTGCGCGGTTGACATCGCGACGGACTTGTACCCAATCGATGGCGCTGGCGCCAGGCCCCATTTCGCGGGCAGAGTCCCGGCTGGATTGAAGAGCACGGATTGGCGAGATTCCTCTGCCCTTGGTGGGCGATGAAGATCCACCATTGTGCCCGACTGCGATGCTGCTCCTCGCGTTGGCAGCGCCTGTCTTCGCTGACTCGAAGATCTTCTTGAAGAATCCTGGCTTCTTGGCCTTTGGTGTGGAAAGTCCACCGAACACAGCGGTCGGCTCTTCTGCGCCGCCTTCACCGGACGACCAGGGTATGGCAGATGACGCACCTTGCCGAGAGGTATTATGGCTGGAATGGTACGATATACCGGTCAATGGCGTTTCGGGCCTTGGCACCCGGGAGACATCGCTGGAGCCTCTCGAGCGGAACGTGTCGACTGCCGTGTTTGGTCTCTCGGCCGGAGTGGTACCTCTCCTGGCATAACTACCCGCACTGGTCGCGCTGAATCCACCGGCTGAGGGCCCACTCATGATGCTTTGGCTGGTTCTCTCGGTGCTTCCCGTCTGTGTCGTACTCGTACTGTGCACCCCGCTCGAAGAGTTCGTCGTGCTGGATTTGTTGGTATATGACCGGTTGAGCAAGTCCCCGCGGAGATCTTGGCCGGACCTCCGTCCTCTTACCACTGGGTACTGGGCGGGGATCGAATTATGCCGGGCGTGGTAGGGTACGTTTCGTGGAGGAGGCGGTGGGGCTTCCTCATCAGAATGTTGCGCATCCTCAGCCTCCCTTTGACTCTGCTCTTGCATCTGCCGAAGTCGACTTTCCATCCTCTGTACATAGTTGTTCAATTGTGGCGGGCCGTCCATGTAGGGATCATGTGCGTAGACGCTGTTTCTATGAGTCTGACTGCCATGATATTGGTACTCCTTGTCTCCATCAAATCCCAGAGAGGTTAGCGGCCGACGGGAGGTTTGTATGGGCCGAGTTTCACGGAAGCTATCATATGCGTCCGGTGACCACGGGTTGTTGAACATCGGCTGCGGCGACGGTGACTGTCCGCCTCGGGGCAGCCCCATATCCTCCAATGAAGTCATCACGTCTTCCATCGCATCACGAAGGGGCGACGGGGTGTGTCCGCGGCCCTCGGAATGGGCAGCCGGTGATGGCGTCCTTGACATTGTGACAAAACGATCATTCATGTCTAGGCGTGTGGGAACGTGTGGTTCGATGGACGGCTGACGATTGACAGCAACTCTGTGTGGTGGTGGAGGTGGCGGGGGCGGCGAGTCTTCTCTCTCGTGCAGCTGAAGTGGAGATATTTCGCGCGAAGAGGGCCGGTGTAGAGATATGCTGTGTCTCGGAACTTGAGGAGGCATAAGATCTACGTCATCAGGCGGGTATGGGGATGCTGCACGAGACGCAGGTCTCTGGATTGCAACCTCCATAGGAGGGAGAGATGGGAGCTGGTAATCGATGGTTGGCGGAGGAGCTGGCGATACTGCACGAGGAGGAGGTCCGGGGCGTGGTGCACTTTGCACAGGTGGGATGGAAGGAAGGTGGAGTTCTGGGTCTGGCGGATGGGGCGACACTCCGCGAGAGGGAGGTCTTGACCGGGCCATGTATGTCCCAGGAAGGGTGGACGAAAGTTGGGGATCTGATTCGGCTGGAGGGTGCGGGGACATCGCACGGGACAAAGGCCTGGACCGGGATACGGGCCTCGATAAAGAGCTCTGATGCTTTACAGCGGTTGTTGGGGTGCGCAGCGGCTTCACCTTCCGCGAGGAAAGACTGCCATCTCGGGGTGGAGTTTGCGGGATCGTACTGGTCACTGGCGATGAGGAGGTCGAGCTCCGGGATAGCTCACCCGAAGGTGCAAGAGCTTCTTTATGGGCCTGGAATGGCTTCCGAAAGACCGTTTTCTGTTTCTTAGGAGCCGAAGTTGGATTTGTGATCGGCGACGAGGCAGGTGGTAGCATAGGGCTCGTTGACCGTTGCACAGGTACGAAATCCTCCCTGAGCACTTCAACGAAGTTGGAGGGAAACAACCCCATCATGCGCCTGTCTCGCCGCAATCGGCCCATCCACCACTGACCATCGCCAGCATTTAGACACTCAATGAGGTCGCCCTCCACAAATCCCAAGTCGCGTTTTGTTTCTCCACCCCATGAATATATTGCCCGACACCAGCAAGGGAATCGGGTCGGGAGCTGGGGTGCGGCGGGGGCCATTGCGGCTGAAGTGACCGAGCACGAGCGGACCGAAGATCGACTACTACCACCACCGCTGATTGCTAGCCAGAGCGGACGTCAGATTGCTGGAGAAAACGATCGGAAATGCAATTGACGTGTCAGAAGATTCGATATGATGCAGTATCGGGGTCCGATCGAAGTATCAACGGGGTAGGAAAGTCAAAGGGCGAATATAGCTACAAGCGCACCGTCGCTGAACGAGAGACAATAACGGAAGCATTAAGGACCGGGTAACGGAGCTGTAGACCAACACATGGCAAGAAAGGAAAAACAAAAACAACGGAAGAGTAGCACGCCGGAACGCGAAGAAGGGGGGCGGAAGGTTCAGCGTGGGATGCGACACGCTTTAGGTTAAAGGGAGGGGGGGTGGTTGGGTAAGTTAGTGAGTGGAGGAAAGAGTGAGAAGCTAGTAGGAAGGGAGGGGGGAGAGAAAGAGTGAGAGAGCGAGAGAGAGAGAGAGAGAGAGATGGACTTGGAACTCAAGGGAAACTGGACGGTGAGGCCCGATCGATGTTTTGGTGTTTACGTGGGCTCCGTTTCGGGACTAGTCCCTCCCTTATCGATAAGCTTATTACGCACAGTCCTCTTTGCTAGTCACTAGTCAACTAGTATTATCCTCTTCCTCTAGAGTTTACATCGATTTCTCTCCCTTTATAACTCAGTTCACTGGATGATGTCAGTTCAACATACCAATAACCGAACTCATTCTGAATCAACCATAGGTCATACGAAGCTCCAAGGTACTCCGCGCGTGGCTACTAGGGGTCCCCCTCCCCCAAGATGAGGATCCATGGTTGTACCTCCGCTACCCGCTGTACCACCCAGAGAACATTCATCCCTGGGTTGCCAATCAACTTGTGTTTCATCTCTAGAGTACTACTTGTGGTGCAATCCAACTACTTTGTACCCACCTCAAAGAGAAACCAGTGCGGATCATATGAGAGACTAGACCAGAATTTACCCGCCTTCGAAACAGTCATATGAGGTACTGTATAGTATATGAGTCTCCTGCTGGTGTTCCCTTCTATACTATTCTCTATGATAAGCTAATCTGTCTGTCACTTAAATCTCAGGTCTGTCAAATTGATGGCAACGGTTTAGGTCACTCTCTCACTTTATACTCAGACGGTGAGGCCTTTTGAAAACTATAAAATCAGGCGATGACTCCAAAGACATCTCCTGGTATGTGGCCAAAATCCCTCCAACCCAACTGGTCAGCTGCCGCAGCCCCTTGCTTGGCTGAGGTAATGATGGTCGTTACTGTCTGCATCGCAAATCCGAGGAAATTAATCTACCGGCCGAAGAAGCTTACTGTCGTATCCTGGATGACCTTTCTAGAATTCCTTCCTCGGGTCAAGTCATGGGGAGTAATATCAGTCTGCTCGCTCGAGTTTATTGCGGCTAGCGTACAAGAAGTAAGTTCGTGTACGGCCTCAATGCCGCTATCTATAAAGTCTATCATTGGTCGTAGTGTCCTATTCTCAAAAAAATTACCAGTTAGTAGATATATATATATGTGTGTGTATATATATATGTATGATGTGTAGGACGTATATAATGGTAGGAAGTAGTGGGGGAATGAAAATTAGTCCTTTCAAAGTACGTAGTATCAATTACATCCATAGCCTCCTCTTCGTCGCAGTCACTCATAGCATGTGCTACGCTATGGACATCCAAGTTATCTCTGCTACTGTAACAGCGGAGTGAGGTGGATGGTCATCATTCCAGTCGGGCCCGGCGATACACGTGCCACTCACAGGTCAACAGTACCACCCGACCTCGACCACGCTAACCTACTAAATCGCCTACTGGCTTTCTATACCGGGGATTTTATTACACTCATCTACAGCCAGTATTATACATCAGAAACTTCCACGCTATTGTGTGGATTGAACTTTATTCAAGACCTCGTGATGTCTTTTGACTCAAGTATCTGCTGATGATACCGAAAAAGTTCCCCTTTGCCAGTATGGGTGGAAGGGGACGCAGTTCGAAACAGTCTTTACAGCCTCAACAACAGAACCACCAAGGCTTACGAGAGGCTCATGCCAAGTAACCTTAATGAGTCGCGCATCCGGGATGGCTGGTACTAGTTGGCGAGTATGTGCGCCACTTGTTGACGATAAGCATCTTTGTCGACTGTGTTAGCCTGCTCCTGATTATGGAGGACTGTAAGCTGATAGTCTGGCGGACCGTGACATGATTTAATTTTCCAAGAAACCAAAGAGCTGACATCGACGTCTAAGCCTGTTTGATAGGCATACGATGTCTTTGAGACATGTTTGGGATTTCCCTCCTTTGTCAAGGTTTACCTTAGCCGAGGGATACACACTATATTTATTGGCCCACACAAAATCCTGGGACGAAGCATTGCTCCTGTGACTAAGATTGAGGGCTTGGTAAGCCTACTGGGAGTCTTCTTGGGGGATCCTTGGCAATGTCTCAGCCAGATCGTAGGGATACCGCCTCTTGATTCATACTTCCTGCATTGGCTTCTTCTCCAAATAGCCCTTTTTTGCTATCTTCCCTGGCCATGCTCACCGTCATGAGGTATGATAGCAACAGGGTTGACGGTTGCTGATCATTTGTAAGATGGACTAAAGTCGAGGAATCATTATGAGAATGCTAACTTAGAACGAATTTGGACCGCAATGGCACGAGTGGAACGTAGGGTGGCAGCACGGCTTATGAACCTTATCAACGCGACTCCTCAACTGCGGCCTCCAATACCCGTCTAGAACACATTCTCGGTGGTTAAGGTTTCATCCTGGCTATCTGGCGAGTTATTGAGCCTTGACATTTGTTGGACACATGTCAAGCATGACCCGCCACTCGAATGGAAGGTTGGATGGCCGAAGCGAATTTGAGACGATACTGATTCAACATAACCCCCTGGATCCGTGCCAACATAGTCGTCCGATCACGGAGTGCAAGTACTATGCCAGCTGAACTACTCAACACTAGCCCAATGGTACTCCCCATGTTGATTATATATTCGAGCACCATGCATGATTTTAAACCAGGGGAAATGGTGCAGAGTCAAGTCGCACCTGCAGAATGTTGAAAAATCCAACAATTAAATTAGTCCATATCCCTAGCAAGGCAAATGAACTGGCGGCGCTCGAGGACCGTGTAGATATGGCAGGAAGAATGATCCGTCGGTCAAGCTGCTTCGAGCATGTCATGTCACCACTACTACTCCACCGAGTACATTCCAGCAACAATAACCTTGTTTCCCTCGACATCGTTCGCTGACTAGTTCGTCCGAGTTTCGGAAGTTGAATAAGCCAACATACACTCTGGGGGATCTCGTTGGTAGGAAACGCAAGGTACATGCAGGGTAGCAGGGCACGGATTTTGACTGCCTGGCCTTCCGGCATGCATCTCTCTGCGTTGTTTCCACCGATATCATCGGCGAAGCGAGAAATCTTTCGGCCTGGCCCGTGGAATTTTGTGTCTCATGCCCAGGGAGGAAAGATGTTAGGAGAATCTTCACCCCAGACTTCTTCTTCGTTAGTCACGTGCCCTCTGCAAGCTGCTGATCGTCGCCAAATGGGGCGGCGACGACTTTCCTCTGTAGGACTCCTTCCCCCCTCGCCAAACGGCCGCCGCTCGCCATCGCAACGCCGTCCCTTGATGCATTACCAGAACACGGCTGCCTAGTTGCTCGATTACCACCAGAAGCAGGGGTTGAGACACCGATATCCCCTTGATAAACGTTGTGGCCTGACGGTTGAGGTAGCTCCACAGGATGTCGGCCTCGATGGACCAGAGTTCCAAGTCTAGAATTTCCAAACAGGGTAACTCCACAGAGTGCCCAGATGGTGTGCTTCTGGTCCACCGCCATGGTCGTGTCCACTCAGAGGCAGTCCCTGTCAGTGTGGAAAGGGTCCCCAGAAACGGAAACTGAAGGACACTGGAAGCTCACCAGAACAATTTAGTGCCTGTCAACTAATTGCAACATCACGATTCGCTGCATGTATTGCAATGCAACCCAATTGAGCTGCTCTGCTGAGTTCAACTCTTTGCAATCGCCCCCTAGATGCGCGTGGAATGCACCTTAACCAGTTCAGCGCATGCCGTAGTTGAGACACCCTCCCCCACTTGGCCATGGGGGCCCTAAATCTACATGTGTATAAAGTGTGCTTCTCATCGACACGGATGGGGAAGGCCAGATGGATTTTGGTCTGACAACGGCGATTGACTGATCAATAGACATCTCCCGCAAACATGGAGGGTCCATCTCGTGTGTACCTTTTTGGAGACCAGACCAGCGACATTGAAGCTGGCTTGCGCCGTCTGCTCCAAGCGAAGAACAGCACCATTGTCCAGTCTTTTTTCCAGCAATGCTTCCATGCGATCCGTCAAGAGATCGCGAAGCTCCCGCCGTCTCAACGGAAGCTCTTTCCACGCTTCACGAGCATTGTCGATCTCCTCTCCCGGAGCCGTGAATCAGGCCCTAGCCCTGTCCTGGAGAGTGCGTTGACATGCATCTACCAGTTGGGTTGTTTCATTCAGTAAGTCATTTAGTTACCTGTTATACTTGACAGGTCTGACCAGCCTTCAGCTTTTATGGGGATCTTGGACATGACTACCCTACGCCCTCCAACAGCCATCTGGTTGGCCTGTGCACCGGTGTTCTAAGTTGCACGGCTGTAAGTTGCGCCAAAAATGTTGGTGAGCTTATTCCAGCTGCAGTGGAAGCAATTGTAATTGCACTGCGACTGGGAATCTGCGTTTTCCGAGTTCGAGAACTGGTGGCCTCCGCCGATTCCGAGTCAACATGCTGGTCAGCGTTGGTTTCCGGAATTAGCGAAGCAGAGGCTAGCCGCCTGATCGACGAGTATAGCAGTAAGAAGGTGTGACCTCCCGTAATTTATTCCCCGCATTGTAGGGTGCTGACATGTGCAGGCTACTCCACCTTCTTCGAAACCGTATATCAGCGCGGTAAGCTCTAACGGTGTTACTGTCAGTGCACC